TTTAGTGTGTGTGTGTGTGTGTGTGTGCGTGTATATATATATATATATATATGATGTACATAATATAATTGTATACTTTATAAGTATGTATTTATATATATATTTACATATATATACATATATATATATATATACTACATTATATATATATAAATATATATTTGTGTTTGTGTGTGTGTGTATGTGTGTGTGTGTGTATGTGTGTGTGTGTACACGTACATATATTGTGTGTTTGTGTGTATGTGTCTATCTGTTTGTACACGCACCTGTGTGTATGATGTTTTGTGTGTGGTGTGTGTGATAGGTTCACGCACACGTTGTACACATGGACATGTGTATTTGTGTGGTCGGTCTTGAGTATTAGCGGAAAGAATTTGTGGTGCACACAGTTTCGATGGTCTCGATGGTCTCATCATTACAATCTCTATTGTAAAGTTACAATCATTTACTCCAAGAAGAAAGAGGCGGAGGTCAAGAAAAGGGTGCTTTATTTCAAGTACATAAAACATTCCTACTATACAGTATACACAATGTTATTAAAAATGAAGGTTAAATTACATCTCTCCGGGCCAATACATACAGTTTGTGCCTTCTGTTCCGTTGGTGAACGTAACGGGCGCATCAGCGTTGGTAGTATGGGGTAAGGTACCATTGGGGAAGAAGGAGTGGCTAACACAGAACTGGTTACCGATAATCAGGCTTCCGATATCAATCGAATCAGTAAGCTTGGCCTCAGCTCCATATCCAGTCTGGGGCATGTAAATCTGTCCTGGACCGAAACCAACCTGAGCTTTGAGGGGACTGAGGGGACCGTCAAGCATTCGCATACACTTGAAGACAAGAGGTGTGATCACACGCGCGATGAGAAACTTGGTGATGGAAGCACCAGCGGCACCAAGAAGACGAGTGTCTGCGTTGCTGTAAGCAGCCTTGGTACGGCACGAGCAACAGTAGTCGGGACTACAATCTCCAACATTGGGCATTTTGTTTACATAGAACATATTTCCGGAACCCATGCTAGGAGAACTGTTTCCGTCGGCATCGGTTACATTCATGCGATTGATAGAAGACACCCAGCATGGCAGATCATGGTCTACCGGTCGCCCAGTAAGGCAGGTTCCACGACCAAAGTAGTTCATGTCCAAGGTAGAAGACCATACGCCACAGTTCATAAGTAGACCATCCAAAGGCAAAATAGGAGTAAGATGAAGCAGAACTTTGATTGCCTCAATAGGGTTTCCGGCAAGGTCACCAAAGTTATCGGGCAGAGCGTCAGGTTCCACCAAACTTGCAAGAAGGGCCTTATGATCTAGTTTACCTGCAGATGCATTACCAGTAACAACGTCCTTGAAAGTAGCTAGAAGCTGAGAAATCACGTGAGCTTTAACGGGGTCAGAGATCATATGGGTGAGCAGATAGATCATCTGTGTGGCGTAGGCCCAAGACTGAGCAGCAAGAATAGTTCCTGCACCTAGCTTCTTAGCTTGACCTCTGTTGTAACATGCTTGTGCGCACGGAGGGAGGGACTCGTCAAGATCGTTGCCCATGGAATCCACAATTAGAGAACGACAAGGCGCCAGAGGCTGAAAGTTGTTCTTCATGGGGGCAGCGTTATCGCATGAAACATCATATGGGAGGTCAGAGATAGGGGTGCAGTTTGCAACCGCCTCATAACCCCATCCGGGAATAGCGGCCCAGGTCTCGCAGTTGGTGGCAGATTGGACATCGGTGTATAGGCCAGATGTGAACAGTCCTCCGACGTTGGACTTTGAGATGGCGTACAATACATCGGCGGCTTCATCGGCGGCCGCAAGGGCGGCTTCGAAGGCGGCTGCGGGTGTGTATTTCTTGGAGAATTGTCCACAGCAGTTGTGTTCGGTACACTTGTAGTAGGAACTCTTGTGCTCGAAGGTCTGAAGAAGACATGGCATAGTAGCATCGATCTTTCCGCCGTGCTTGCACTTAAGTCCGAATTGTTCATTGTACTTCTTGCAAGAAACCATCCACTGAGGAGCGAAGGGATTCGCAGCCGCTGCAATCTGCGCGAACTCGTACAATTGACCGGCAGTGATACCAATAGCTAGTACGGCACCAACCCAGCCCTCAGATGCATTGTGACAGCAGACGCTGTTTGAGCACTTGTGCACTCCAAATGACATGCAAGAGTAGGTAGAGCAGAAGTAGTCATGATCGACATTCTCCTGGCCATTCTTACACTTTCCACCCAAGAAGTTCTTCCATTGTCTGCAGGTGATGAGGTACTTTCCTGAGGCGACGTTTGTCTTCACGGCAGCACCAAGAACGATCTTAAGCTGCTGTGCGAGCTTCTCAACAATCTTGGCTTCCTCGTAGGCAATGAAAGCGGTAATAGTTCGTCCAATGCCAGAGTTGACACTACCGTGTCCACAGCATTCCTCTGCACTGCATTTTCCCCATGGAGCATCGGGAATAAGGTCGTCAGTGGTGGCACAAGGCTGCAGCTTGTCAAGATCCCCCTTACGCTTACACTGCAAGCCCTTGATCTGAAGGGTATCGGCATAATAGAACACAAGTCCACAGTTGGTCAATACGTTGAACTCTCCGGTCGCAGCATTAGCAAGACTGGCAAGTCCACCACGGATGTATGGGACAGTCGACTGCAGTACGGGTAGAATAAGATCTGTAAGAACACGGGTAATGATCTCGGCGATGATCTGCGATACGATGGGGATTCCGGTAACAAGATCAGCGGTAGCACAGCAGACATCAACAGAGCAAGTAGGTACATCTGAACGAATAAAACCAACGGTGCAAGGTAGCAGGCTGGTGATATCCTCACCAGCGCATCTTTGCTCAGAGGGATTCACTCCGATGATTCCAGAAACGGCTTCTCCGAAAGTTGTTCCGGCAATCTCCTGACCAATAATGGATTGAGCACCGTATAGGGCGAAGAAACCACCACAGTTAGTTAGCAAGTTGGTTACTGTGGATGCAGCCAGTGCATCGAGCATGTTCTGAGTGAACGTCTGACGAATGTTAGCCTTTAGACCCTGGGCGAAAGGCACGACGAAAGCAGGGATGGTTGGTAGACCGCCTGCACCAGCTTCGGCAGCACCTCCGGCGCTAAGATCAGGCAGTTCAGAAAACACACCTAGAAGACCAACAGCATCTACATCTGCTGTGAACTCTCGCAAGAAAGCCGCGACTCTGACGGGATCATTTCCGATAACATCTCTAAACACGTCAATAAAGTTTTGTGGCAAACCAGAACCTGCTAGTAGTGCAAGAACTTGATCGATGCCTCCTACAGCAGCTGCGTCACCACCAACGGACGGTGGAACTACGACTTCAGGAACTACAAGAGCCTCAGCACCTCCAGCAGGGGGAGCCTCAGGAGTTTCTTCAGCAGGGGGAGCTTCTTCAGGAGCTTCTTCAGCAGCTTCTTCAGCAGCTTCTTCAGCAGGAGGAGCATCTTCAGGAGCTTCTTCAGCAGCTTCTTCAGCAGGAGGAGCATCTTCAGGAGCTTCTTCCTCTTCTACATCGTCACCGGTCACAGCTTCATCTTCAGGTGGTGTAACCTCTTCAGGTGAAAGGTCTTCTTCAGAGGCAACTTCTCCGCCGAAGTCGCCTGTAGTTTGAATATATGCTGTCTGTCCAGCAATAGTTGCTGCTGGAGTACATATAGGATCTGCAAAGTTGTAACTGTTGGCAAGAAGAGCTTCATCCGTAATACCACCTTCGGAACAATCAGCGGAATTCAAATAAATGCCAACCGCGGCTGTACCATCACCATTGTCGTCAAATTTACCGTATACAGTTGTACCGGGGATACCCAATGCCTCAACACACTCTCCTTCAGGAAAGTCTATGCAATCGAATGAAGCACCCGCTGGGCATTCGGGATTACCGAGCCAGACACATGCGTTTAGTGCATTAGCGCCAGCTACTGCTGCTGTAGCTGCTACAACCCTTGATAACATTTTTCACTGTTTCTATCCTATGTGTCAAGAAATTATTAGTGGAAGTGTACCGTCAATTGCATTTGTCAGCTAGTACATATACTTCTTTTCTCATCCAATTTCTCCAACTTAATGGATATGTGTGGATAATGGTTTCGAAGCAAATTCAGGATCCTTCAGAATATGCGCGATTGGTAGAGATCGAACTTTCTAGATTGCGCACTGTACCTGGTTGGATAAAAAATCGGTTAAATTTTTGGATTGGATGATTTTAATCACTGTCTTCCATGTTGCTAACCAGTGTAAGATCGCCATTTCGTCAGGCCCTTGGCTGTGCTTGTCTCCGCATTGAACGCCAATGAAATTGTGAGCTGAAAAGTTATACGTTTTTGTTAACGTACTTTGAATGTATTGTACATATATGTATTTTTGTGATGCATGTTGTTTTTTATAGAGTAATATTTTAAAAATAGAGTAATTAACATAAAGAGCAATACACAGTTGCACACTACAATATATGTTGGTGACCGAAGTTTGGCTGCCATGGCATTGCCAATCTTCCACTAAAATATAGCCGCAATTTCTTTGAATTATACTTTAGAGTATTTAGTTTTGTTCAATGCAGCTAAGGTTGTAACCTGAAGTATTCTACAACACACACAACACCATTTACCCCGAAGATGGCACTTAGGTGAGGTTGTTTTTCTCTATCGAAAACAACAGCTTCATCCTTCATGCCGAATAAACGGATGCTAGCATACTGCGAATTTACGAGTTTCGTAAATTAAGTGTATGTCTTTACTATAGAAATACTTCTAACCAGCACGTCACGAAAATTTACTCAGGCACGCGAGCTACTATTGGCATGTCATTCCTTATCCATCTTTGATGTTGTACCAAACAAATTGATAAAAAATTTGTTCGAATGCACAATACCCACCTACGTACAGAACTTATATTGTATGTATGTATATATATATGTGTGTGTGTCTGTGTCTGTGTTTTTTGTGTATAAGTATGTATGTAAAAATGTTTATATATGTATATTTGTATATATATATATATTTATGTGTGTATGTGTGTGTGTACATATACATACATACACACGATATATATATATATGTGTGTGTTGATTAACGAATATATATTCTTTGGGTTATGCATGTATGTATGTATATAATTATACTTGTACCTGTGCCTGTACTTGTACTTAT